AAATCACACTCTTGTGTTTCGACGACATCATGTGCGATTGTGCGAACTGCAAAAACTTGTGAGACTTCGGAGGTACAACCTACACTCTACGAAGTCGTAAGTTTCACTAAATTTCCAGTGCGAACTCGGAACTATGAAAACGTCGACTGTCGAGTCGTCGAGAACGATACGATTCACGAAATCGGAAATATCTGTATTCTGTATACGATACCACGTGCGTCGTGCGACTTCGGAGGTACAATCCTACACTCTACGAAGTCGTAAGTTTCACTAAATTTCCAGTGCGAACTCGGAACTATGAAAACGTCGACTGTCGAGTCGTCGAGAACGATACGATTCACGAAATCGGAAATATCTGTATACGATACCACGTGCGTCGTGCGACTTCGGAGGTACAATCCTACACTCTACGAAGTCGTAAGTTTCACTAAATTTCCAGTGCGAACTCGGAACTATGAAAACGTCGACTGTCGAGTCGTCGAGAACGATACGATTCATGAAATCGGAAATATCTGTATAATTCACGAAATCGGAAATATCTGTATACCACGTGCGTCGTGCGACTTCGGAGGTACAATCCTACACTCTACGAAGTCGTAAGTTTCACTAAATTTCCAGTGCGAACTCGGAACTATAAAAACGTAAGTCGGATTTACCACCTAGCACCTAGCACCTTTACTCTACGAACTACGAAGTACGAAAAGCGGAAAAGACAAAAGTGAAACCGTCGAGACGAAACGATTCACAAAATTAAAGTCGGACTCGGAAATCGGAGGTGCGAACACTACGAAATACGAGAACGAAGAGATGGCTGGCGGAAAAATGAAATTACTCAAAGAACGATTCACGAATGATACTGTGGTTATGCAGGGTGGCCAACATTTCCGTCCAAATATGCACGGTGCCAATCGGCAGTAAGCCAGTAGCAATAAACGAGGAAAAAAAATTTCCGATTCTTATCAAATCGAATCGAATCGAATCGAATCGGTCCGTCCAAGAATCGATTCAAAAAATCGATTTTTCGATATGAAAAAATCGATTCTTTGCAGAATCGATTTTTTTAGCACATCACTAGTCCAGGGCTTGAAACCATTATCAAAATTATCGGTTAACGCTAGGAAATTCTATAACGTCGGTAAACGTTGAAACTTTGATAACAGAGAAATTCGAAATGTTTGTTTGCTAAGCAATAAAGTAAACATTTCAAACGCCATGATCCAGCGTTTTGTCTGTTCAGTAGTTCAGTTCCAACAACCAATACCTACCGTGGTTGAATTTGCTTAAACTTTTTTAATCAAAAGTACCTACCTATATTTATTGATGTGAAAATCGTTTTGCATGACAGTGTAAATTTTCGAGCGTTACCTTTTTCGTAGGTACCGAGCAAATTTTCTATGGAGTTAATATTTTCGGACTTGTAATTTTTTTTTTCAAAATTTTTCGAAAAACACCGAAAATTCTTTTGCCACTAACAGACTAATTATGACGTCAGACTGGGCGTCAACCTTGGGGGTAGGTCAAGATCGGAATTCCTGCCGAGCGAATTCTCTATGGAGGTGATATTTTCAGACTCGTGATTTATTTCCAAATTCTAAACTCATATAATATATGTTTTCACATCTTATGAGGGTCGCTTGAGACACACGCGTTTTTTTTTTTTTCTGTAACCATTTGGAAAACTACCTACATAATAACAAAAATGTTTTAGATCAAGTTTAATTTAAACATTTTAAGTACTAAATTTAAATAATTTTTGTATTTTTAATACAAATTGAATGCATTGTAATGAGATGTATTTATAAGTAGATTTATTAATTTTTACTCAATGAAAATAAATTTGTATTTTATTTATAATCAACTGTTAAATTATGTATTGTTTCAAATTAATTAAAATAATAGGGATTTCAATCATATAAATTTTAAAATCTATATAATGCATAAAATGTATTAATAATTAACTGTAATGTAACTACATTGTACTATGTGTAATATTTTATTTATAATTTTATAATTCATTATTGTATAAGTATGTTTATAATATTAATTTATCTACATTGTGAAGTTTAATTATTAATTAATCATTTTTGTGGGTTTTTATTGTGTATTATCAATTATTTAGAAAATGTTATTTATTTATTTTTTATTTATTTTATTTATAAAATCATAAATGTTAAAATTGAATAAATTAGTTATAATACATAATACTTTTATTATACATTTTTAATATTACCTGTAGCTTTTAATGTTTGTACAACATTTGTAATCGTGGATCGTGACGGTTGTCTTCTTTCGGGAAATGTTTGTAGGTATAAGCGACATGTTTGAACTGTACTTTTACCACTAGTATAAAACATTTCTATCATGTTAGAATACTCTACATTAGTATAAGTAGGCGGCATATTTAATAGTTAATGATAATTATATGTGTGCACAAAATACAAAATAATTTGCAGGTACTAGTATGAAAAATCATATGAGATTATTTTTTTTTTTATTATTATTATAAAGAAACTAGGCCTCGACTACATGGGTCATTTGCCGCACATGAGATTATTATAGGCTAACTATTTTTAAAAAAAAAATCATTGAGAAATGTATACTGGTCCATAAATCTTACCTTCATAGCTGGAAAGTTTACTCATATCTAGGTTAAAATGTATTTGTGAGTTGCAATAGACTATACAGTTTTAGTTTACTTAATCAGTGTTCACTATTCAGTGTTACAATTTAATTTTGATATTTTAAGTTTGTAAGTGGTTCAATTTAAAATATTTAAAATGTCGGACGAAGAATTGGAAAAATTATATTCTGAGTATCAAAAAAACAATGCTCAAAATCAACTGTCTGAATTGGAATTTTTTAATAAGTCATTCTTAAATTGTTTAGATGAAATGGACACGTTACGTCAAGTATGTACAGTTTAAATATTTTAGATAACTTTTCATTTAGTGATTTTTGTATAAAATATAATTTTATATTGAACCACAGTGTAAATCCTACAGTTGTACATGGACATAAAATAATTATTTACATAATTGTCATTCATTAAAAACCTATTCCCAAAGACTTAAAAATGAGAACAGTCACTATGTAGAGGGTATAGCTCAACTGGAAAATGAGAAAGAAGAACTTGCTAATGTTGTAAGTGTAGAAATATACATAAAACTTAATTTATTAATTTATATAAATACATATAACTCAATTATTTTAAGTACAGTTTATTAAAAATATTAAATATATTTTCTTACGACTAATGAAACATAAATATTTTCATAGATAACATTAAAACATCGAGAAAAATTATCAGCCGAAAAAATTGTACGTTTATAATAAGTACTTCATTCTAGTAGAAACAATTTAAAAAAAAAATAAAGCTCAATAAACATACATTTATTTTTACAGGCTATACTTTCAACAAAAAATAGTATTTTGGAAGATGATATTGTAAGTTTTGTTATTGTGAGAATTTAAAAATACCTACATTATACATGTATACTAAGAAGTATTTGCTTTTATTTTTTAGAACTTGCTTAAACAAAAATTGTTGACATGTGAGGAGAAAAAAAGTGGTGTCAATGATAAAAACAAATCGGTAACAGTTATTTTTACCTAAAAATGCACTTATTAAATAATTGTACAACAGTCTAAATAAATATATAAATCTAAATAAACTTAAATCTAATAATAATTTATAGGAATCACTCCCAAATTCATCTAATTCTGACTTATCTCATTATATAAAAAAAGATGAGTTACAGCCGCTAATTGACACAATGATAGAGTCCAGGGTTGGGTTTTTAGAACAATTGGTATGCAACCAAATGAGTAATTTAAAGTTGGATGAATCCACTCAATCTGCCGAGAACAAAAGCACTAACAATTCATTTGAGATGCGTGAAGTAATAAAGTAATATTTTCATAATTTTATAATTATGTTAATAACATTGTATTTTAAATTTTTTATGTTTTTTCTTAACTTAGAATTGTGTTGAATGGTGGTGTCCATTGCATAGCAAATTTATGGACATTCTGGGAAATATATCTGTTCAAAACCAGACAGTAGAGGACAAATATACAATTCGAAAAGCTAAAGCTAGGTTTGAATACTGGCAAGGTGGAAATAAGGTAAAATAAAAATGTGAAATTTGATTTTAACAGACAATTTCTTTCAACTAAAATAATTATTTTATTTTTGTCATATTTTAGAATATACCCAGGTGTCCAACATATGACAGGAAGAAAGGACAAGCCATTCATTATTCACCTCCTAAATGTTGGCCCAAAAATAATGAATAAATAAAAATCTTATCAAATACTTTTAAAATTTTTTTTTTTTTTAGTTTTAGACCTCAGATACCTCTCAATCTTTCATTTATAGTTATAATGAATTGTTTTATGTACCTAAAACAAAATGTATTGTGTAGACTAAATAATGGACATTAATTTAATAATAATTTATAAAAGGTAATGAACACATTAGTTATCAATAGTTTCATTAGAATATAGACAAATTTCTGTAATGCAAATATTTGCAGAATTTGGGTATGTTCACATCCAGGGACGGATTGGAATTTCGGACCAGCCCGGGAAATCACTTTTTTACCGGCCCATTATATGTTGGGAGATTGGGGGCAACTGGCAAGTATACCATACTGAAGATAGTAATTTTTTTTAGTATTTTAAAGGGTAGTCTACTGTAATCAGTGTTATTATAAAATCAACCTTTACCAATAAAATGTAATAATAAAAATAATAATAATGGAATAACAATAGTATTACCTACATATAAATGTTACATAATAAAATGTTAGTAATTATTTTTTAATTGAATAAATAAAATGGTTTAATTTACAATGACAGATTTTTTTTAAAAGAGAATTCTCTTTTTGTAATTCTTCTATTATTTTATCTGAATCCAATAGTGTTAATTTCTGTTTTTCGATGGCCATTAACATGAATGCTTCTAGTTTTGGATCCGAAAGCTGACTACGAAGTCTTGATTAAATATTTTTTAAGAAAGAAAAAGATCTTTCACATGATACTTGGGTTGATGGTAGAGTAAGTACATATTTGTATGCCAAAAATAAATTAGCATATGCATCACAATATAAATTACATTTTTGTAAAATATTATAGCAACAAACAACACAGTTTTTGCAACTCTTGCAAGTCATATTTTGTGATTCAGGATTCATTTTAGATTCAATGTCATCTTCTTCATCTTGTGTTAGCTCCAAAGAGTATGTAGTTGCAAATGATTCAGCAAGACTTTTCTTTAACTTGTCCCAATTTTTCGCAAAATGTATTAACTCATCCTTTAGACCGTTGTAAGTTATATTTGAGTTCAAACTCTTTAACTTATCACACAAAGTAGTCAATGCTTGATCAGGCAAACCATTTTGAATTATATACAAAAAATAACTTGGTGACAAACATGATAAATCATTATACAATTGTCTGTGTTTTATAAATCTTTTGTTAATACTCTCAACAACTATATCTAATATTCTGTTATGAACTTCTATTTCAAACTTCTTTAAAGGATCCTCATTTACCATATCATTACTAATCTCACCTGCTAACATTTTTTTCTTCCTGGTTCTTATATTAGGTAATATTTCATTTACAGTTATAGGACTATCACCATTAAATTATAAATCTAACTCAGTATAAGCCCAAATAACAAATGACTCTGCAGATAATTTTATCCATTCCATATTTCTTGAAACTTTTTTTAAATGTTCAAGTGCTCCATCAACTAGGTTCTTAGCTGTAATTAAATCCATTGATTTTGATTGCAGGTATGTCGATAAAGGACCTGTAATACTAAAAATTCTTATATATGTATATGCAGTCAAAATAGTAGAAAAATTCAATAATGTATTTTTCATAGTTTCAGCTTTGCCCCTTATATCTGGTGTAGATTTAAAACTTGGTTGAGCGGCTCGAGCCATTATAGTTAATATCGTTTAAATATTTAAATCAAAAATCAGTAAACGGTAATTAAATATTCAAATCAAAAATAGGTTAACGGTAATTAAATATTTAAATTACAAATGCAGGTTAACACTTTAACAGTAATACAATTGATAATAAATATTTATAATGATATAACAATCTCTGCAATCATATTTCATACAATTCATACTGTAGCAATCACATTTAAAACAACTCGGGAAAGTTTAAATATTTCCTTCAGTTGAACATAATATGGACCCGGGAGAGTTTCCACATTTCCTTCAGGTAAATATAACAATGACCCGGGAGAGTTTACCATAGGGAGAGTTTACTAGTTTTAAAAATTGGAAGAGTTTACCACCGCCCATATACCTAATTTAGAAAAAACAATTAATAATTTTGATTAAGGGGGCCTTGACAGTTTTACATGAAATTTAGGGAGCCTCATGACAAAAAAATTGAGAAGGACTGTACTAGATTATACTGTAAAGTATCTAAATTAGGGTGTTCCTTAATTTTCGATTTCAAAATATTATTGGTCTCACCCCCTAAATCAGGGTGTATGCATATAAAAATGAACTACTAAAAATAATTAACCCGTGCCGACTTGAACTTGAAGTTTGAACTTAAAAAATTTTTGATATTTCCGTAAATATTACGTAAACCGTTAAGAAAATTGTAATTTCTCATCATATGTTTTTTTCAATTAAACTAAATTTCCTATACATTTTATAACTATACATTTTTTAATCAACCCTTTTATTAATGAGATATATAAGATTTACTCTTAAAAAACACAATTCCTCCGCAAATGTATTATTTACATTTTAGTATTTTACTGTAGCCTAAATAATAATCATAAGTTATAACTCATAATATTGAGTAAAATGAGAAAATGTTTACAATAATAATTTATAATTCTTAATTCTTATCTACTTATTAGGTAATTGATTCTACATTTTTTCAACATTTATAAATAATAAACGATAAGGCAAAAAAAAACGATAGACCAAATTATAGGCGTTCCAAAACTTGGGCGATCAACAGGCGAAGAACAGGCTGCAGCTGTGTGTAATGCATTACGAGAATGGGGATTATGTGATATTGTTCAAGCCTTGTGTTGCGACACAACTGTGTCTAATACAGGTCGCTTAAATGGAGCATGCATTTTAATTGAAAAAAAGTTAGGTAGAGACCTACTATATCTTCCGTGTAGACATCATATTTACGATCTTATTTTAAGAGCAGTTTTTGAAATTAAAATTCCTCAAGTTACAACAAGCCCAAGTACTCCATTATTTAAAAACTTTCAAAAAAAAATGGTACGAAATACATATTAATAAGTATAATATTGGAATTGAAGTTGAAGAATGTGGTGCAATTTTAGAAAATGTGAAGGAAGATATTCTCAACTTTGTCAAAAATAAACTAAAAATTCTCGTGGAGATTATCGTGAATTTTTAGAATTAGTGCAAATTTTTCTTGGTGGTGATTTAGAAAACAATATCACAATTCATCCTCCTGGTGCTATGCATCAAGCATCAAGCTCTGTGGATGGCAAGGGCAATTTATTGCTTAAAAATATTTTTGTTTAGAAATCACTATAGTAATGATAATTCTACAAAGAAGGCAATTGGAGATATTTGTGTGTTCATCATCAAATTTTATGTTAAAGCTTGATTTACTTGCCCATTACCAGAAAAATCTCCCAATCAAGACTTACAATTTATTAAAGATTTGAAATCGTTTGAAGTAATTGATAACGACATAATATCTAAAGCATCGATTAAAAAAATATGTCTTCATTTATGGTACTTAACCGAAGAAACTGCTGCAATATCTTTCTTTGATGATTCAATACCGCTAGAAATAAAGCGTCAGATGATAGAAGCTTTAAAAAAAATAGCAACCAGAAACCCGACAAAACGACTGATTATTCACCCAAATCAAATAGATGATACATTTTTAAGTAAGTAAAATATCCAGTTTATTAAATAAATTAAAAAAAAATTTTAAATTTATGTAATATAAAATAATTAACAATACATTTTCCATATTTTCAGAAAAAAAAATTGATGCATTTATATCAGATGGTAGCTTGAAAATATTTTCTGGATTCAATATTGACGATGGGCTTTTGAAAGACAATCCGACAACTTGGGAATCAAATACAGATATGAATGCAAAAAATATAATTAATTCACTTACGATAATCAACGATACTGCAGAAAGGGCAGTGAAATTGATGGAAGATTTTAATGAAATATTAACATTGGATGAGCAACAAACACAGTTCCTCTTGCTGTGTGTGCAAGAACATCGAAAACTCTATCCTAATTGTAAAAAAGTACCCTTCTACAACATGTATAATTGAAATTATTGTATATTTAATATATTTTACTTTATATTATTTAAATGCTTATATATCTCATTAATAAAAGGGTTGATTAAAAAATGTATATTTATGAAATGTATAGGAAATTTAGTTTACTTGAAAAAACATTTGATGAGAAATTACAATTTTCTTAACGGTTTACGAAATATTTACGGAAATATCAAAAATTTCGAGAATAATTGAAAAATGTATTAAGTTCAAACTTCAAGTTCAATTCGGCACGGGTTAACCTTATTTGATTGACCTGAGATTTGTAGTAGTTCGTTTTTATATGCATACACACAAATTTAGGGGTGAGACCAAGAAAAAATTTTTTTTTTGCTTATTTAGCTAAGGAACACCCTAAATTCTAAATATATATATCTAGCTGTCCTGGTAAAAGATCATGTTTGTAATGTTGCATTTCAATTTAAAAACTTCATATTCATTTTTCACTGTTTATTTTCCTAACATTATTTATAGTTATTGAAGAAATATATAAACAAAATTTTTGATAAAAATTGGTTATTAAATGAGTTGTCAAATATTAACCAAATATATCATAACAAATTATGTCAAAACAAGAATGATATTCATTTGCGAAAGAAAAAAATGAGCAAGGTGCTGAAAACAAGAAAACACCAAAAAAACTAAACAATTTTTCAAAATTAGTTTGAAGTTTATAAGATAAATATTATTAAATAATATTATAATATAAATAATATACCTAATCATATAATAAAATATGCAAAATATTTTAAACATGTTCTTAGAGTTTTTTATGAACACTAGAAAATAATACTTCACTCTACCAGGCTACTATTAAAACCAGAGCAAAATCATAATAGTTTTAATTTAATTTAAAGATTTTAAAAAGGAGGCATATATCCAAAGAAGTGACTCAATTATACATCATATTTTATAATTGATGTCTACTCAATAAAAAATATTGCAAATGTAATGTATAGTTAGTTATTATGATTCAATGTTTTTGTAAATACTAACTTCAATTTAAAAAACATTCATCGTTTCACCAGAATCTAAAAAAAATAGCATTTTAATTCTTAAGTTGTAAGACATTTTGCATTTAATAGTATGAATATTCATACTGGCGCGCACTGGTGACTATAGAACTGTGGTAATATTTTCAATCAAGAGCGTAACGTATAAGGGGTCCAGAGTGACGACACCTTATCAATACACCTTGGGGTACATAAAAATGTTATGGGCCACTTAGCTATACACAGGTTGCATATTGCCCTATAATAAAAGGCCTTTACATTTATTTACATAGTGACTATATAAAACGGCTGAAAAAACTAACTACTAGCGCTTGATGTCAACAGTATGTGTCCACATTTAAAACTAATTTTACACCTATTTATCTATAATCGGTTCATTGTGATGCTGCCGTTTGAAGCGCTACTGGTTAAATTTACCAGTCAATTCATGCACGCCTTATCAGATGCCGATGGGCTATCAGTATATTTTTAATCCTGCCTATAGGGCATAGGCATGACAAAATAGATAGGTATCATCACAGTTGTAATAGTATTTTTCAGTATGGGGATCTCCCTCGCTGTCGTTATCCCTTCTGGTTTCTCCATGTATTATATGTATGTACCTATTCGCGATAGAAAGCGAAGCGGCTGACATCTGGTGGCGGCGGCATGAAACTTTGTAACGGGGCCGACAAGCCCGTCGGCCGTCATGAAAACTGATTAGGTCTATAAATACAAAATATATTGAGAATTTGTCATAATTTATTAACCACGAATAGTTTTTTAATTTTGATTACGTATTGTGATCCATATTCCATATTATAATTATTATGATATCGGCCCTTTACTAGTTAGAAGCTGCTATTTCATAATAATTATTAATTATAATATGGATCACACTTATTGTGCCACAATACCAAAACCAAGAAAAAAACATAAATACTGTCATGTTCCACAATGTAAAACAATGTAAGATATTTTCTAAGATATTTAACTGTTCTTATTTCTACTAAATTTACAAATTATATTCTCTGTGTAAACATGTCTAAAATATTTATTTTATTTTCATTCAACAGACAATACCAAGATGATGTGACTTTCCATAGTTTTCCAAAAAATGTTATCGTAAAAAAGAAATGGGAGCATGCTTTAAAAATGAATATTAATAAAACCAATAATAATAATGTATGCAGCAAACATTTCATTAAAGATGATTTTTCACAAATTAAAACAAGTAATTATTATTATAACTACCTATGTACTAATACTCAAATTATATAGAATACATATCAGGGGCTTATCCAAGAATGTAACGGGTATTATTTTAATAATTCCATAGACTTTAAATCATAATATAATTTGTTGTGTTACCTATAGCTAATTCACCATTTCGAAGGGTAAAGTTAAAACTGTGTGCGATTCCCTCTCAAAACTTACCAAAACGACTATTTGAACGACCAACTCCAAGTCCATTAAAAATTAAACGGGTCCAAAGAGCTGAAAGAGCTACTCGTCGAGATCTCATGCTTAAATGGTAAATTATTAATAATTATGATCTTAAAATAAGTGCAATAATGTGTAACATACATTTTTAGTGTAAAAGAAGATAATTTGGAATCAAAAATTTCACCTGAAAGAAATAATACACCATCAATAGTTCGACGAAAAATTTATTTCTCCAGGTAAATTCACCATTTTAAACTTTGAATAATTAGTACTTATAATTTAAGAACCCCCTAATAAGTTACTAATTAGTATATAGTGTGATTTTTGAGCATGATCATTGCTCACCCCACTTGCAACTCTTAATAAATAATAATGCATAAAAAAATTGTGTATGCATTGTTGTAGTTATATTGTAAAATTTAAAGCACAATTATTATCCATACATTTTTTTATCTCAAAAATTTAATCTATGTATAAAAACAGAAACTAAATATACTTGATGAGTGTTATGTTTCTTAATTATTAATATTTTAAACTAGCGAACATAAAGAAGTACCTGAAGAAGAGTGCTTGTGTGAACATTTGCCACTTGATGATACAGCTGTGGAACAAAATACTGAGTCATCTGTGACTGCAGTTGATACCACTTCAAAAGATATTGGTATTCAAGTTGACCCAGCAGAATTTTTAGCCATAAATATCACCCTTATGGATTTAATAAAGTCTGATTCAGATATTAATTCCTTTACGGGCCTTTCAAAAATTGAGTTTTTAAAAGATATTACTAAAATATCAAATATCTTAATGGCTAAACTGCAGTACAATATACAATTTTCTTTAGACACAGAAATGCGAATATGTTTAACTTTGTGTAAGTTAAAGTTAAATATGTCCTATAAAAGTCTTTCAGTGTTATTTGGAATATCTGATACTTCTTGCAAAAATTATTTTATAGAAACGATCAATCTTTTGTTTCTGATTTTTAAATCAATGATTGTATGGCCTTCTAAAAGTAATATAGAAAAGAATTTACCATCCTGTTTTACAAATTATAAAGAAACAAGAGTGATACTTGATTGCTTCGAAACAACAATCGAAAAGCCAAAATGTTTAAATTGTAGAATAAGAACTTATTCACACTACAAAGGCAATAATACAATTAAACTGATGGTTGGAATTGCTCCAGATGGCTTGATTACTTTTTTAAGCTCGGTGTATGGCGGAAGAGCGAGTGATAAATTTATTTTTGTCAACAGTGGAATTTTGGACAAATGCACAGAAGGAGATGCTATCATGGTCGATAAAGGTTTCTTAATTGAACAGGAATGTATTGATAGCGGTGTTAAGTTATTTAGACCACCATTTTTAGGTAAAAACAAACAGCTAAGTACAAAAGACGGTATTGAAAATGCAGAAATAGCCAGAGCTTGAGTGCACATAGAAAGAGCAATCCAAAGAATTAAAATTTTTAAAATCTTACAACAAAAAGTACCTTGGTCGTATTTGCCTATTATTGATAAGATTACTACAGTTATCTGTGGGGTGGTTAATATTTCTCGACCAATTATCAGTGAAAAAGGTTTTAATATAGGAAGAAATGAAGATTAGTATAGTCAATTAATTATTAGTGAGTACAATTAACTTTAATTAAAAAATACATAACATGTACAACTTGTATTACTATTAAAATGCATTTAACAATTGTACAATTATTTTAGACATAATATACAGTTTATTCATTAAAATTTTAAATATAACATTGTGTATTTTATTATTAATTTTGATTAATATAAGGTAATACTTGTTTAAAGTATACATCTGTCAATTGAATAAACATTTCTTTACAAAAAACAGGGTCAAAATGTACATCTATGACTATTATTGAATCGTTAACTGAAGCATATATAACTAAATAGGCCATTTTCAAGTTACATAAAAGAAGTCCTAATTGAATTTGACCATAGTATGAATGATTCTTATTCAATGTTAACCTGCATTCATTACTGATTTTTATATATTTAAGTAGTATGATTAAGTCTGATTCACTAAATTTCTTACCAGCAATTGGACATTTTATTTCAATAAGAAAATAGTTATTTAATTTTTCAATAAAACCATCAGGGCTTATTCCTAACCAAGGGAAATTTATGTTTATAAGAAATCCTAGTTTAATGATAGAAATTTCATATTTTTTTTCAAAGGCAGCAATAGCTTTATTTTCATTTAAAAGACCATAACGGGTGGCAGCATTCCCAGAAAAATTTGAAAATAAAACGGATTTTATTTTAGAGTCCCAATCTTTTTTTGCTGTTTTACTTTTAGACTTAGTGAAAAAACTGTATGCTGAAGTTCCAGTAATTCTAATTTGCCTATTTTTTTTCCAATATGGACCACTCTGTTTTTTTGTTTCAAAACAAATTTCTGTAGCTTGAGCTTTAGTAACATCAACATTTTAATAGTAAAAACTAATACTACTTGCATCACACATACAAATATATGAAGAAAACAACGAGGTGTCCATACAAGAGTTATATGAAGTAATAAATGTTTCTATTATTTTCAATTCAGTAGCTGATATTTTCGGTAAACATATTTCAGATAGTGGTTCTATGCGTCCAGCATGATTCAAGGCAAATGCTGAATTCGGAATTCCTAAACATACAAGAAAAATATTTTGTATATTATTATTATAAACTAAATTAAATTTATGTATTTTTTGAGTTATTTAAACCAAACATAACTTAGAAAAACTACAAGGGGCAAGAAAAAAATTATAATAATAGAGCTTTAGGGGCTTCGGAGCTTGTGGGGTTTTTAGTACAAAAACATGTCTCACAGGCTGTACAACAGGTCAGTTTTTCTTAATTTTTTTTATTTAAAAGAAGAGAAAAATTTCTAGGTCAGTTTTAACCTGTAGATTAGTGGAAAAGTATTATAATTAAGGTAGTATTTAAAATATAATTTTCGAATTTTATACAATTTCAGAAAATTTGAAAAACCAGCGGCGACCCCCTTAACTGGATTATGTTCAACATAATAATAATAATCTATTGTGTACTAGCAGGATAGTTTTGATGGTAGTTTCAGTGCTGCCTGAAATAAATTAAAAATTATGGATGGGCCGCTACTAAAACGATATTAAAAATTAATAACTTTGTAAAAAGTATGAACGAATTTCCTGCTTCAAATCCTCTGAGCGGGGTGCCGCCACTGGGTGACTTCCCCCTCCTGTTTACCAAAAATCATCCCATTTACTTATTGTATCACTTGTAAATACAGATTGTAAATATATTATGTTTGTTCAATAAAAAAAAAAAAAAAAAAAAAAAAAAATCCTCTGATATGTCATTAGGCAATGATTTGTCATATACTGATGTTGTTGGAAATACATGACAAAACTCTAGAACATGAACTTGTTTATGTAAATATTTACTAGCGGCTTGACCGAGTTTTCCCCATTGTTGAGGAAGATCTGTACAACTTCGCTCATCAAGTTCTTCTATTGATGTTCTAGGAATATAAAATAATTTAATTTAAAAATTGAATAAAAGAGTTAGAGTAAAAACTTGGTGTTGACTTATTGATATGATCAACTTATTATATTTATGTGCATAAATGTACATATAATTAAAGCTTACTTTTGAAGTTTGAGCATCAGGCCAACTATGTGTTTGCATTTCCCACTACCTGCTTTGCAAGAACATTTTGCTGATAATTGAACACTCCCATTATTAGTAGTTTTAATGACTTCTAACTAAATAGGTACAGTAATATTTTGTAAATTAGTAATGGCTATTGTATACTGAAATTAATATTTAAACTTACCTCATGAGGTTTTCCACTAAGATCACTAGTTTTAAGACACATAGCAACGATTTTTAATGTTTTGTTATTATTTTCTACACATCCAAACTCAACAATGTGGTTACATTTCATTACTTGAGTACCCTCAATCAATGGTCGCTTAAAGTCACCAATAAAACTTAAAATGTCCGTTAGCTCAACAACCGAAGTAAACATTATTCTTAGGTATTGACCGTATTGTAATCGAAATAATAAAATAAATGAAATTGTTCATATAAAACAAATTAAATTAATAAATAATAATATTATTGTAATGTGAAATTGATTATTATACTGTTATCAACATACACAGTGGCCCCGTTAGTAAAATTGACTACAGCGCCCCTATATTTGCTTTCTATCGCGAATATGATTGAGAGCCAAATAGAAGTGGAGAACTACGATATAGGCACGAACTACTACATAGGACTGGACACTGTATAAAATAAGGTGGCTATACTAAGGCCGCCGGGCCGGGGTAGAACGCTACTCCTTCGCGCATCTAAATGATTGAGCCATAGATAAGTAAAAAAACAAAAAAAAAATAGTATCGATAATAAAAGATGAAAATATCGTAAAGGATCGACAGCCACCGGGAGCGCTGTAATACACGGTTCATTTTTATAACATAGGAGTAGGGATGGCAAAAATCGCAGCTGTCACGATGTATCGAATAATCGATGTTTTCATTACGTCTTATCGATGTCGATGTATCGAACCGATTAAGGGCCTAGCCACACCATGCGTTTTGGCGGGTCCGGGTAAAACGCATCCGGTCGACCGGAACAACAACTTGCATAGTTTCTAATCATAGGTGCCACATTAGAACGTTTTGTCGGGACCTGTCGATTCCTGTAGCTGACCGACCGCAACATGTGCGTCGGCGGAAACAAATCGGCAGGACGTGTAATCAAAACACATTGTTTTATATCGTGTATGCCACAAATATAAGACCCGAGACATCGATTGTGATAAATTGTAAATTTGCATCGGCTATAGCCATGAGTACCACAGAAAAAAACTTTTTGTAATTGAAAAACAATGATCCAGAATTACTAGGATTTTTACATCGGATATGTTTACCGTCAATAGCGCCTAGGCAATTCGGAAAATTTGTTTTAACATAAAATACATTTGAAATCTCTAACCAGTCATTCGTGGTTGGCACAGGCATCTCTGTAGGCTGTAAAACTGTCCACAATGCTTGACACGTGTCTTTAACTATTATTCCGATCGTACTTCTTCCAACTCAAAAATCAAATTTCAAGGCAGCAAAATAGGTGCCAGTTGATAAATATCTTAAATGAAAAAAAAAATTTATTGTGTAGGATTTTTAGAATACATGTTTAATAAATTACTGAAAAAACCTAAAAAAAATTTAAACTGAAAATGTCCGTAAACAGCTCAAAAAAAGTCAAAATATTATGGTATATAGAAAATGCTAATACAAACATTCAGTTAAAATTGCATTTACCGACCCCTATGGTAATTTATTTTAGAGTTAGACTAAAAACCAAAATCGATTTTCTCAAAAACTAATTTTGCGTAAAAATTCCCGCGGTTTTTCCTTAATTTTTCTTTTGTTTTTCACGGCGTTTTTGTAAACTACTGAGAAATTTTTACTTTTGACCCCCCTAAAGTACCAACTAGATTCACTTTCCTATCAGAAAAGTTACTTTTAAAGAAAATCTAAGCATTTTTACTTTCCTAAAAGGTGATGACAAACAGAAAAAAAATAAAAACACACATCATTGTAAAATCAATATAGATCATCATCGATCCGCTCAGAATCTAAAATGTAGTAAATTATATAAATTAATAGATAAATAATAAAACAATTGACATATAGGTATTCAAATTAATTTAAAATTCTTTAATTAGGTATTTATTTTTATATTAATTATAGTTAAATAAATGAAAACCAAATGGCGGCATATTCGTGACCACTACTCTAAGTTTTTAAACCAGGCGAAAAGTGGCGACAGCGCTAAAAAAAGAAAATATGTATATGCAGAATCTCTCTCATTTTTACAGCATACAATTCAAAAAATATTGTTTTAATTCGATGTTTAAATACTATTTTCAATAATTATAATAGTCATATTATTATACATTACTATATTATTAAATTTATTTTTATAGTACTTAGTTATCGATATAGGGCTCGGAAGTTAATGACCAAAAAAATACAAATTACCAAAAAAATCCCCCTTCCCCAAAAAAAACTAAATTTTACACCTATATCACTATATACACTTTTCCATCAGAAAAATGATGAGGTAGGAAACCGGAGCATTTTTACTGCCCAGAAGGGTGATGGTTAGAGCGTGGATTATACAAATGCATTTGCACGTATGCATTTGCATATTTATTCTGGTTGATCGTATTTAACCTAATCTGACCTATATGAAGTCAGTTCAAAATTTATTTTATGATATATAAAGATTTTAATAAAAATATTAAAATAAAGAATTTTTTTCAGTTTATATATCTTTGCATATTTCGACATTTACCCATTATTTTCTATTTTAAGGGCTTATTTTACAATTTTAATTGCGCGTCTTTTGTTGTTTTTTTTTTAATTTTTGAAATATAAACTTTTATAATATAAGAAAACAATATTATAATTTTATAGTTTCGATTAATATTAAAATAAATTTATAGGTATTGAATTGAATTTTATTGTAAAAAAAAAATAAAAATATTACTTTATAATTTATATAGAACGACGGGTAATTTTACTGAAGAACACGAAGAAAACGAAGAAGGGGATTCTTACCTCAATGTTGACTCAGATGGATATGAAGGGGATGAGGTGATAATGACGACTTCAAATTACTTCAAACAGAATTCTAAAACCTCAACGATAAAGTCAAAAACAAAAAACCAAATGACACAATTTCAGAGAGCGCTTTTAAATTCATTATCCGCTTCCGCTTCTGAAGAAGACAATGTGAATTCTGATCCAGATAAAGCCTTTTTATTTTCCTTATTACCGGACTATAAAAAATTAAATTGTGACCAAAAAATGGATTTTCGATTACAAACATTACAGTTTTTTAAAAATATTTCCACACAAACCAAAGAAACTCAACCGGCTCAACCTTCCGTTTTCCAATGTAATCAAACTCCGTCAAATGTCCATCAAAGCACTCCTGCACCCTTATCATATCCATTTCAAAATCAATCATTTTCATACTTACCATATAATCTTGGTTTCCCCGATAATCAACCTGTTGTCCCTCCAACTTCTCTATCACCGTACGAAACTACTCTCAATCCACCGAATTCCCAAATTAATAATCCATATACATCATCTTCCTATACTTCCTCTTCCTATCCAATGACTTCTGAGCAATCCGAACGCATTCAAAATAAAGCACAATATAAATAATATGATATTTGTGTATTTATAACGTGCAAATTTAAAAAAAAAAAAAAATGTTTTTATAATTATCTATTATACCTATCTAAGTCAGATATTGAAAAGACACCCCTTTAATATTATTAAATTTGTATTATTTATTTATTAATTATTATTATTCAGTTTTATTTTATATCTAAGTCAGATATTTAAAGGATAATACGCTCCTTTAATATAATTAAATTTGTATTATTTATTTATTAATTATTAATTATTATGATTCAGTTTTATTTTATATCTAAGTCAGATATTTAAAGGATAATACGCTCCTTTAATATAATAATTAAATTTGTATTAGGTATTTAATATTTATTATTATTTTTATTTATTTCTATTATATAAGTTATTTTTTATAACCATAAAATTAACAATTATATACTCGCAAATGTATTAGTTTTTTCTTTCATAATTCATTAAATTAATTATTAATATAAAAAATATTAATTTATTATTCGTATTTAAAATTTAACTTACCTCAAAGTAATTGTGAGGCGTTCTTCAGCACATATAGAAATACGAAATGTTGTGGTAGTTTTCGTTATGTGGGGTCTTAAATTTTCCAATAGCTCATCAAAACTTGAGACTGACATTCGATAATATTCGAAATATTTTTCTGGGTTACGTCTTATATTCTCAAAAAAAATTTTAAATTGTTCACTCTTTTCTCGATCATTATTCATTGGATGCACCCAGTACCTCCGTTCTACAGGTTCGTCTAACAAACCGAATGCCTCAGCTACAGCAATAACTTTAACCCTTTGCCGGTTCATTCTTAAATATAACTTTCAAGTTATATTACCTATGATTATATAATATAAACTAATATATTGTAAAAGTATAAAGCCTACGAAATTAAAATATAATATAATATAATAAACATTACTTACTTGTAAAATAATATCAAATTGTTTTGATTTAAAATTATGTAGTGTCTAAATAATATGAATATCGCTCTAAGTATCCATTAATTATGATTAAATTAGATGTTTTTACTGTTGAGTATCAAATAAATCATACGTCTGTCCTATACGACTGTTTGAACTGTTGTGGTCCATAAAAATGTGAAAAAATTGGTGGGAGACGGCTGTTTTGGCAGGAACAAAACCGCATAGTGTGGCATAGTGAATACCGTCCGGTCAAAACGCATCCGATTTACCCGGACCCGCCAAAACGCATAGTGTGGCTAGGCCCTAAAACGACGATTAATCGATACATCGCTGAATAAACACCGATGTATCGAAAAAAAAAAAAGTAAAATTTTGCACTCTAAAATGAAGGATACGGTTATACCATACACCACACCGTACACTTCACATCTTGTAAGGTAGTAATCATGGATTACACATTCACACTTGCAGGGTATTGATCAACTTTAATATTTATTAAGCATTTAGTAGATATTGAAATCTACAATAGCCTAATTTTTATTTGTGATTAAATCAAAAAATATTTATTTGTTTATTTTTATTTAATATCATTGTGTACATCGTGGTTAACAAAAATAAAAATAATTTATAAGCTATAACATAATAATATTATGTTATATATTGTTTACTTACTCAGTTAATTAAAAAATTAACTAACTGGTTAAGTTGAAAAATATTAATTTGCTAGGTTGTTTAACTTTTTTAAAATTATTTTATACTTAATGCCCATATTTAAAAATAATAGTACAATTATCAAATCTATAATGTTCGCGCATATTCGATACATTACTTGGCATTAATATTCATGACTCATGAGTTGTTACAATGTGGGCTTCTTATTCACAGTTATTGCTGTAACAAAATAGTAAAAAGTATAAGCATGGTCACTATGTAGCAAATATATCTCTTAGATAGTAGCCTAATTATAATTATAGTAAGGTCAGTAAACTTTCCTAAGTTCCATAAATTTTGTTTTAATTATCTTAAATTAACGTAACAATATTTAAACATAATAGAAATTCGCTTTATTCCAACATAATAAATGATTAACAGTTACATAATCTAAAAGTAACAAATTATAACATATTAATAAAAAAGTAACAAATAATAACATAGTAAAAAAGTAAAACATAACATAATAAAACTGTACTTGTAAGTTGTAACTACGGTAGGTAACTAGGTAATAAAACATGCAATTAGTATAAATATTATGAAAACCAAATGTCTTCGCTCAAGGAACTAAAAAATACTAATTTTGAAACACGTTTACCTATGAGTCGGTTTCGTGATTTGCTAATCGTTGCTCCGGCTTTTGAAAATAGACGTTCAGAAGGAACGGAAGTTGCTATAATGGACAACTTTTCCTTAACAATAGTGTATAAATTAGGATGCATGGTCTTAAGAACTTCCCAAACTTCTAGGGGGTTTGAATTTACAGGAACAACTGGCTTTTGTAAATATTCATAAATCTAAAAATATAACAAATTGTAAGTCATGATCATCAACATCAAAATCAACATCAAAATTTAAAAATATTAACCTCTTGACTTATGGGTTGCGTTCTCCTTTGAATTTGACTCGTTGCAATTGCAGAATGGTATGCCCATAAATCAAAACTATCTTTTTTACCATTATTTGAATCTACTTGTTCAGCATGTGAAGTGGAAGCTTGATCCTCAAGGTTACTTGGCTGTGGTAACTGTAACTGTAGCATATTTTTAATACCGTCTATGGCAGCTTGGCAATTAACTGGATTCTTGAAATGCACGTTCTTGAATCTAATACAATAAAATTAGTTACCTTTATGAATTAGGTTTATATACAAATAAGGTTGTTTAATTATGATGAATCTAAATTAACTAACCTGGGGTCCAGAAGTGTAGCCAGTGGAAAGTCATTGAACTTTTCTATGTCTTTGAACCGTCTATGTATCTCACTTAAAATATTTTTTTGTAAATCAATGCAAATATCTGATTCTACAATTATACTTTCTGTAGCACTTTTTACACAATTCAATAATGGTATGTCTGTGCTATTCACTGCATACTTTTCACCAGACATTTTTGTTGTTAAGTTTTCTAGAGGATGTAAAAGAGCACAAATACCTTTCAAATCATTTAACTCACGACCGGTTAACATGTCTGGGGCATTTGGCTTAGTTAGTAAAATTCCAGATATCATGGATGAAAGTTTTAAAAATCTTTCAACCATGTAATAAACACTATTCCAGCGAGTTTTTACATCTAAAATAGTTTTTTGTAATTGTCCTTCTGATTTTCCTATTAAAAAAAAAGAAAGAATAATTAATCAGGTAATTGTACACAATTTGAAAATCTTTTTACCTTCATTAGTTTGACATTTCCTTAACTCATCGCTGACAATAGTGCTATTTTTTATGAATTTTACAATACTCCGTACCTTTTGAAGTAAGTAACTCAAATTATTTGTGCCTGATATTGATTTTTCCGCAATTAAATTTATGGTGTGCGCAATACATGGTATATACTTATCCACACTAAACGTAGCTTGTGCTGCCTTTTTTATGTTTGACCCTTAAAAAAGAAATAATTACCTATATTAATAAATAATCAAAATAAAAAATAATACCTACATAAGCATAGTTTCCTATAAGTAATAGTTTATAATTGCTTACCGTTATCTGTAACAACAGCAATAATTTGATTTTGTGAAATATTCCATTCTGACAGACAATTCTCAAACATACGACTTATATACTCTGATGTATGTGATTCATTTAATTCATATACTCCCAATGTACCTACAAAAAAAATCAAAACATAACCAATACTTACTTAATATGCTGTAAATTTACTTTTTACAGTGCTAAACCTAAATGTAATAATATGTAGAAAATATAGTACCCGAAACAAATTGTATTCCCTCCAAGAAATGTATTGTAATTCCTAAATAGCTTTTCATAGATAAATCAGACCAAATATCAGTTGTTAAAGTAAAATTGTTCGTCTGATTTAGTTTTTCCTTAAACTTGTTTGCCAAATACTTATATTTTTCATCAATTTTGTTTTTTATAGTATTCCTTGACGGTACTTCATATAAAGGACAGATAACTTTCATGAAATGCTTAAACCCACAGTTTTCTACTGTAGAAAAGGGTTGGTTATCTTTTGTAATATAATACACCAAAGCATTTGTAATCTCGCCAGACTTTGATCCACCTTTAAAAACAAAATTGTACAAATCAATATAGGTACTATTGTCTATTATCTATGGTTAAATAATGCTTACTTGTCATAGATGTACAGAATGACAAACTATCTTTAATTGACGGCTGGATATTAACCCTTTTACGTTTTACACCAGGTGTATTTACTAACTGTAGGGAGACAGACGTGTTAATACAAAGTAATTTTTAATAAATATATCAATGGATATAATTCAATAATACATGAAATAGGTAACGTAAAATTTAAATAATCCACTTACATCCTCTGAATCGTCAACTTTTTCTGGTTCTAAGATACTCTTAGGTTTACCGTCCAGTGTTACATTGTGAATATTTACCAGGTGTTGACGCATGTTAGTGGTATTACCTGCAGTTTGTACAGTTTCACCACATATTTTACAAGTGGCCAACGTTTTATTAACTTTATCGAAGTGCCGCCACACTGGGCTTATTCTAGGCATGATAAAAGTTTAGTAAAATAATATAACACAAACACTATATACTATATATACTATATAGTTGACAAAACATAAACAATTAACAAATTACAAAACTACAAAAGTGAAAACAAAAGACTAATGAGTAAAGACAAATAGACAATGTTGTATTCTTGTTGAATACTTGAAATTTGAATGTCCGTTACCGACACCGTAAGTCCGTAAATGTAGAGCATAATAAATTAATAAAATAATAACTAATAAGTAATAACCTCAAATAGTCAAATGTATAGACCTTTGGGCTTTGATCATGGCCATGGATCATTGTTTATATTCCTACCTACATAAACCATAACCATAATAGGATCTTTGGAATACGATAATTATGATATGAACCACGGACTAATTGATTAGTGATAGACTAAGTGATTAGAACAAATTATTTATCAATTGTTATTTATTAACTTTATAACCTAACCACAAATTGGACTTCAAATATTATCATAAAAAATTTTAATTTTAAAATATAAAAAAAAAAATTTAGTTACGTAGCTACTTCGATACATTGACACATCGATATAACATCGAAGGTAATTTTCGATGGACCAATAAAAATCGAAAGACACTGTCGATGTAAAAAACATCGATACATCGAATATAACAATCGATGTTTTCGATTAATCGATGTATCGTTGCCATCCCTACATAGGAGTGGCCTATCTATTATATTTACCACGGCTATAGATAATATGGTTGCGGATCGAAACAAGAAAATGTGAAGCTTAAAACGTATATTAGCTTTAACACCAGCACACAGCGCTCTCTGGGTGATAAATTGTATGACTACATTAAAAATTTTATCATTCTGTATTTTTGTCATAGTTATTGTTTTTCAATAATAATTATACAGAAGTAAAATACAGTAATACAATAATATTTATGTTTGTATATAGTATATACGAATATTATAGGTATGCAATAAATAAATAATTCAGGTTTATAGTGCTCGCTCAAGTATTTATATGTATTAATTAATAATTACACATCAATATTTAGACTAACTATAGTAATAGTAGCTAAACTTAAATATATTATATTAATTTTAAAATTAAATTTAAGAAGTAACCAATTTTGATAATTTTTTTTTGTTTTATTCAATTGTTTGGCTTCAATATTTTTTGAATAACTATATTGACGCATTCTCATCGTTATATACATAACAAACATATCTGTAAGTATTTCACTTTTGTGATCATTACAATTCACGCGGGAAAGCAAACTGTGTACAACAAAAATAAAAATACTTTAATAGTTTTATCATATTTATTCAATGGATATATACAGTGGCTATTTTTCAATAGGGGGGTTGACAATTAATTACAATTTTATTTTTATTTTGTCCATTCTAATAATTTAAGACGTTTATGTGAGGACATTTTGACAAAACCACAGTTAATTTGTAGTTAAGAACTTCATTAATATATTTTTTTAAAGTAATAATTATACGGCAATGGGTGGGGGGGTTTAGCCCGTTTTAGCCCCCCCTGTGTACGCCACTGGATATATACTTAAATTATAATATAGTATGTCATATATAGTCTGCATTTTAATATATTATATAGCCATGGCCGTGGTTTGCAATTCTGCATAATAAAGACGTGGTACAATAATTATTAGTTCTAACAAATACCGTAGATGGCGCGACAGGCTCGTAATTTTAGTCACGGGACTTTTCAATAACATTCCAGCTCGGTGTAATGCGTTGTTTAGTATAGGCCGTTCCGCAACCATATTATCTATAGCCGTGATATTTACTAAGTCCACTCCTATTTTATAAACATGAACCGCGTATTACAGCGCTCCCGGTGGCTGTCAATCCTTTACGATATTTTGAATTTTCACCTTTTATTATCGATACTATTTTTTTTGTTTAATAATATTTTTCAAATAAAAATACACAATAATATTATATTAGTTGACAGAAAAATATATAATTTCTTACAATTTAAATATAAAACAATTATAATATTTTTATATTGCTATACAATTCAGTCTCATTCAATTAAACAGTTTAAACTATTTTACAGTTAATCATAAAACTAGATAGCTGTAATTTAAAACTAATGCAAAATTATAAATTATATAGGTACATTGAAAATCATATAATATATACAAAATGATTTTGTATGATTTATTTTTGTATTATTTCATTAAAATTCCATGTACAGCTGTGCGACTGTTTCGGTCGTCGTCTTATCGTACTGACCGACCAAACACGCACACGCTACAATATCTTATTGTTTTTGTTTATTATAAAATATAATATGTATATGTGTATGCAGAACGGGTCGTCTACGGTCGCCTGCTAATTCTGTTATCGACAGGCCCGCAGTCGATAGTCGATACCCGACCGCGTACCTGCGATTATTTATATCAGTCGATTCGTAATGATGTGAATTTTATTATGCACTGGTTAAGAAATAAATAGTGTTGTCAATGATTAATATATATTATTTTGTACTTTTTTGGAAATCACCTTTTCCGACGCCCTACAGTTTCAGAAGTGGGATACGAATGAATGAGTGGATGATGTACAAATGCCTGTGTTAACACGGAATGCGAGTAAACATTGAGCAGTTGCATAGGCGCAACTAGGGGGGTGCTAGGGGGACTTTAGCACCCCCAGACTAAAATTTAGCACCCCCAAAAGTTCAAACTCCAATCCTTGATTTTTAGAATAATTTATTTATATTTAATGTTTCGAAAATAGTTATATTAGATCAAGCACGAAAAAATATTTTGCCATGAGATCAATAATATAATATTATGATAGCGGTACGAAACTCCGTGCGTTGGCAGAGTTAGGCGTTGCGGCCTTGAACACGGTCTCCAGGGAGGCTTGGCATACGTGAAATAGGGAATGGTAAACAAGCCGACCCCGCGTAGCATATCCCGCCTAAGTTCCGGTAAACGTTTACGTAACACCACCATCTGTGTAACATCATATTGGTAAACGTTTCCGTGTTTTTTTGGAGGTTCAGACTTCAGATCATAGGTAAACAAGATCTCAATCAGCTGATCGAGTTTATTTTTCTATAGTTTTTCTATAGTTTTTTTTTCTATATTGTTCTATGATGATTAGGTAAGGTATATTGCATTGGGAATTTGGTTGTGTTAATAGTTATTTTTAAACTGTTATCTACGTAATCCGCTAGCAGTATGTTTTCCATTATATGCGTTATCGTTATAAGACGTTATAAGTATAGCTTAGGTATAACATTACACGACACACGTTATACACTTATACAGTACCCAAGTCGTTAACTGTCAACAGGCAACAGTATTCCGTTTCCGTAAATCTGAATTTTAAAATTTAAATTGTTTAGTATTTTTAAAAAACGGAAACCTAAAGATAATGATGAGGAAAACGAAATTGAAGCTGATATTGACGATCCTGGCATTTCTACTACTAGTACCTACTACTCATGTCTCATACAAGTGATACAACTCTTGATTTGGGAAATAAAGATTCCGGCCCATGTCGTCCTATACTCAGTGCCGCAACCACCGGGTGTGCATTGCACATCGGCCCTAAAGGCCCCAATCCGATATAGGCCCCCAAATCGATGTGTTAAAATTAATTGTAAAACTGTGGCTGAAGAAAATAAAATTAAAATTAAGAGTAAAAAACAAATGTGTTCGTATTATTAAGTATTTATAATTCATTGCAATCAAATTAAACTCGAATGATTCAAAAAATTGTTGAGCAATTCTATAAGTCAAGATCGTCCCAGTGACATTTCCATACTAAACATAGAATGGAGAAGAACTCTCGAGATGGATGTAGAGAAAGTCATTGACAACTATTCAGACGCAAAAGTGAAGAAAAAACCATTTTGTTAGATAATTTGCAAATGAGTTGAAATTATACTATAATACTATTTTTATAACAATAAATTATACAATTAAATATTTTTGTTTAGATAGCTTAAGGGGCCTGCGCGCGACCTGTTTTTTGCTCAAAAACATGCCTTACAGGAACAACTCTCACGCCTCGTAGATTGGTCCGATTTCCGTAATTATTTTTTGTTAAATAGAGGAAGACTTATTGCAGGGCGCATTGGACTTGGATTTTAAAAATTATTTTTCGAAATCGTATATTACAAGTTTGAATTTACTCCATTTTTACAACTTTTTAGTTTTTGTAATATTATTTGTTTTTAGCAACGTAATCAAAAATCGAAGTCCAATGCGCCCTGTAAAAAATTTTCTTTTATCTAACAAAAAAAAATTTATCGAAATCGGACTAATCTACGAGGTGAAAGTTTTTTAATTTAATTTACATGTGGATAGTGTATACGAACGAATAATTACTCAAGAAGTTCAGGACATAGCATTCAAAACTTCTAATACACTTGCATGTAATTCATCCGATTTCAATAAATTATTAAATAGGATGTTCGATAAATTATTATCCGAGCAAGACCAGTTTTTAGCGAAAGGATCTGGGTGGTCCCCTAAGACTATAGATGTATTACAATTGAGAATTAATATAGTGACTCCTCTCAGGAGAGGAACGTATATAGATCTACCTGAATATATGAAAGATAAAAAAGCAATTATAAATTTAAAAAATAACGATGATAAATGTTTTAAATAATCAGCATAATTGTAGAAAGAACCAATTAGGGAGACCTATAATGTTTGAAGAGGGAGATGATGAATTTATTTATTTTAAAAATTATAAAAATACTAAAAGGATACCAATTGCTATTTATGCAGACTTCGAATGTATTTTAACTCCTAAAAAACCTAATGAATACATTCAGAGTTGTGAAAAAAAAACACATGTTACACATTTGCATGAAATTATGAGCTATGGGTTTTATGTAAAAGTCAACTATGATATTATACCAAAAGAGCTAGTAAAACAGTTTAAAATTCCTAGAAAGGTGATAATTTATAGAGGTGAAAATGCAGCTAAAAAATTTATGGAAAATATGATTAATATCGGAAATAATATCAAAACACTTTACGAAACTAATACACCAATGAATAAATGAACTGAAAAAGAAGAAAAAATTTTCAAAAAATTAAAAGATGTGAAAAATTTTCAAAACATTTAAAAAAAATAATTTAATTAAAGTTCGAGATCACTGTCATTTTACTGGTTGTCTTTGTCTTTGTCTTTGTCTCGAATGTAATTTTCAAATAACTAATCCGTCATTCATTCCAATTTTCTTTCATAATTTATCGTCTGATAGTCATTTCATAATTCGAGAACTCGGTTGCGATGATCACAATATTCAAGTTATTCCTAATTCATCAGAAAAATATATATCTTTTAGCAAGGAAATCACATACAAATTTAGTATAAAATTTGTTGATACATTCCGTTTTATGAGTGAGTCATTAAGTAAACTTGCAGAAAATTTATCTGAAGATAAGTCGAGATTTAGAGAAACTCTTAAAATATTTTCTACGAAAGCACTAGATTTAGTTACACGAAAAGGAGTCTTCCCTTATGAATATGTCGATAGTTGGAGTAAACTAGATGATACTTTTTTACCATCAAAGCTAGAATTTTATAACACTTTAACAGACGAGGGAATTAGTGATGAAGATTACCTATATACATGCTGAAAATATATGGCATACATTTGATATAAAGACTTTTGGTGAATATAGCGATCTTTATTTAAAAACTGATATTGTCATACTAGCTGACGTGTTCGAAAATTTTAGAGACTTATGTTTATCTACTCTCGAACTAGATCCTGCTCATTATATGACTGCTCCCGGGTTTGCTTTTGACTGTATGCTGAAGTATACCAAGGTCAAATTATCAAGGTTAATGGATTATGACATGTTGCTTCTCTTCAAAAAGTCAATTAGAGGTGGCATTTGCCAATCAACTAAAAGATATGTCAAAGCAAACATACCAAATATCGAAGGATTGGACTTGAATTCGAATGAACCGATCACATGGATTACATATCTCGACTGTGTGAATTTGTATGGGAAGTCTATGTTAACAGAATTACCTTTTAAAGATTTTGAATCTGTTGACGATCTCGACATAGATGTAACCAAAATTGCTGATGATTCTAAGGTTGGATATATATTAGAACTTGATATTGAGTATCCTAAACATCTTCATAAAAATTATAACGATTTTCCATTTTTACCTTTTAATGAATGTCCACCAAATTCGAAAGTTAAAAAATTACTCACTACACTATCATCGAAAAAAAAACTATGTAGTTCATTATAAAAATTTGAAACAGGCGATCGCGAATGGTATTGTACTAACGAAAATTCATAGAGCTATCCGCTTTTCTCAAAGTAAATGGATGGCATCATACATTAAATTATGTACATCTATAATGAGAGTACTAGCTAAAAACGAGTTTGAGAAGGATTTCTGGAAGTTGTTAATTAATAGCGTTTTTGGTAAATGTATGGAGAATGTTCGAGCAAGAACTTCTATAAAACTGGTTTCTTCAGAAAAAAAGCAAGGAAATTAATGGAAAAAACTAGTTTTAAAGACAGAACTATATATTCTAAGAATTCCATGGCCATTCATCAGCAAAAAGAGACAATTAAATTCGATAAGGCAATTTATGTAAGATTTGCAATTTTAGACGTTTCGAAAACATTTATGTATGACTTCCATTATAATGTCATGAAGAAAAGGTATGGTACTAAAATTAGTTCTTTATATTCGGATACTGATTCCCTAATATATGCTATCCAAACAACAATTTTTTTTGACGATTTAAAAAATAGTTTATTACCATATTTTGATACATCTAATTATCCTAAAGACCATTGTTGTTTTAGTGAAATTCATAAGAATCAACCAGGGTTTTTTAAGGACGAAATGAAATCAATTATAATTAAAAAATTCGTATCATTAAGACCGAAATTATATGCCTATAAAACTGTAGATGGTACTGAACAAAAAAAAAAGGCAAAAGGTGTAAAGAAATATATAATTAAAAATCACATGCAATTTAATAATTATATGGATATACTAAACGCTTTTATAAACCATAGAACTCTCAAGGATGAACAAACTCATAGAAAAATGAATTTTATCCAATCAAATAAACATGTTGTTCATTCGAAAACAATGAACAAACTTGTTCTAAGTGCAAACGATGATAAACGTTATATAATGGATGACGGAATAAATACTTTAGCTTATGGTCACTATAAACTTAATGGTTTATTATAAAAAGCGTTATCTAGCGGAACAAAATACAACAGTATTATTATTTTCATTGATTCATTTACCACTAGATGACGCTTTTTATTTTTTACCGATTGTGGATACATTAGATTAACCAAACAGACTATTGAGGATCAGGAAATCATGGGAAATAATTAATTCGACTTAAAAAAAACTTAAATTTTTTATTTTGTTTAAAAAAAAAATTAACAAAATATTATACATAAAAAAAATTATGTTAAAATATCTGATGATGTTATCCATGAATTTTGGCTTGAATCAAAACCTAACCATTTAACAAGCATTTTATTCCCAACTTTTTTTACAATACGTTCAATGAGAAAGGTGTTTGGAAAATCAGTTAATTTAATTTCCTGTTCATAGAAACCACCTAAAATTATATTGTTTGATTCATCCTTTAGTTGATAAGTTACTGAATTTGTCTGTAAAACTTTTGAAACTGTAAATATTTCCGTTGTCCAATTTGGTGTATATCCTTTACTAAATATATGTTTATACTTGGATATTCTTACTTTGTCATTAACTTTAAATTTTGGATTATATAATGTATAATTTATTTGTGTATTAAATTTAATATTGTTTGTATCCATTCGAGCTTCATTCGGTGTACATTTGATTGTTCTATGTTTTGTATTATTATAATTTTGTGTAATTTTTGATAGTGTATTATACCAATTCCATGTACCAGTAGCAGTAAAATATTTACATATATTATTCTTAATAGATCTGATCACGCGTTCCGCAATTGAGCATTTAATAACACTGTATGAACTGTAATGTTTAATTTTAAATTTTTTCATTACATCTTGAAATTGAGCATTGTAAAATTCTGTACCATTATCTGTCTGTAATAATTTCGGATGAGCTTTTTTCAATATTTTAAACATGCCTTTTGTACATTCTTTCGTTGTTTTATTTTTCAACGCCTTAAGCCATACGTACTTACTATATGTATCTATAACAACTAAAATATACTTGAAACCATAATTTTGTCTAGAATGAGATTGCATGTCCATTAAATCAGCTTGCCAGAAGTCATCAATAAACCGCGTGACTACACTGCGTCTAGGAAATATTTTTCTGGCCGATGTAACTCATTAGCTATACTCTCTAAGGTAGTCATTATACTAAAATATTTCTCTCACGTAGTTCTTCTAAAATTGATATTATTTCATTATTCACACCAGTATTACCAACACTTTGTGATGATGTCAAAAGATTTAATCTAGTTACTAGCTCATTCGGATCGTCATAATTACATCAATCAAAGATATTAGATCCAAATAGCACATTTAACGATACAATATATAATAAAACTTTGAGATTACTTAATAATATTTTATTAAAAATAAATGGAAAACAATTACAATACTACAATTTACCGTTGCCTGAATGTTATAGTAATGATATTAATGATAGTAATGTTAATATGGATAATCAATTTGAATATATGAGGGAAACACAATATGATAAATGTAGTTTGAAAACTGATATTTCCACTAACGAGCCAAGACTTACTAATGAACAGAGATGTGTATTTGATGCTGTCTACAATTCAGTTCTTCGCCACGATGGTAAATTATTTTTCATCGACGCTCCTGGAGGAACTGGTAAGACATTTATACTAAAGTTATTATTGTCAAAAATAAGACATGAAGGAAAAAAATAGCGTTGTGTGTTGCATCGTCAGGGATAGCTGCAACATTATTGCCAACATTATTGACAGCACATTCAATGTTAAAATTACCTCTCACTATGATAAACAACGATTTACCTGTATGCAACATAAAAAGAGGGTCAGCAATGGCCAAAGTAATACAAGAATGTAAGTTGATTGTATGGGACGAGTGTACTATGGCTCATAAAAAAGCTATTGAAGCACTGAACCGTTCATTGATTGATCTGACTGGTAAAAATGATATCATGGGTCGGATTACGATTGCATTTTCATGTACCTAATACAACTATTTTTCAGTTACATTTTATTTATTACCGTCATCAAACAACCATGTATTGTCATTACTCATTTCATTAGTTATGTAACATTTTTAATTAATTGTAGGTGATTTCCGTCAAATTTTACCTGTTGTGCCTCGGGGTACTAAAACTGATGAAATACATGTATGTATTAAATCGTCAAATTTCTGGGAACATGTTATTAGATTGAAACTTACGTCTAATATACGAGTACAATTAAGTAAAGAATAAGATTCAGGTAAAATATAATGAATGGTCAATTATTAATGTATTTGTATAACTATGAACAGTAATAAAGTGTTATTATTGATTCAAAATAAATATAATTAATTTTTAATTAAAATTATACTTCAATAGTTATATTGTAATCATGAAATTCAAATGAATTTAATGGCAAAATATTTTAATTTCAGATGAATTTAGTAAGTTTTTATTGGATATTGGAGAGGGAAAATTACCGATAGACGAAAATAATCATTGACCGATGACTTTGGAAAAATTATTTTTAATATCCCTGAATTAATAAATAGTATTTATCCCGACTAACCAATGTCACTTTATGTAATAATTCTTGGTGGTGTGAACGTGCTATATTATGTCCAAAAAACTCACAAGTCACTTTAATTAATTCTATGATATTAAATTGTATTAATACGAAAGAAACACTATATGTTTCAATTGACACAACACCAGATCCTGAACAATGTGTGAACTATCCTTCTGAATTTCTTCATACTTTAAATCCACCTGGTTTTCCACCGCATGAGTTGAAATTAAAAGTAGGCATTATATATTTTGTTAATACACTAACATAAAATTAATCTGAATAATATTATTTTTAATTACCATACATGATATACTTCATTTTTTTTTAAGGTTGGAACACCCATAATATTGCTCCGTAATTTAGACGCACCTAAATTGTGCAATGGAACAAGATTATTGATTTCAAATTTACACCAAAATGTGTTAGAAGCAACTATTTTAACTGGTAGTTATTCCGGGGAAAGTGTGTTCATACCTCGAATACTAATGATACCCACAGATTTTCCAATTGAATTTAAAAGATTACAGGTTCCTGTAAAACCTTGTATGGCAATGACCATTAATAAGGCTCAAGGTCAAACGTTTAAAGTCATTGGGATTGATTTAAGCGAGCCATGCTTTTCTCATGGTCAGTATTATGTAGCGTGCTCTCGAGTAGGCAGTTCTAAGTGTATTACAATTTTATCATCATCTGCAAGTAAAACTAAAAATATTGTTTACCCGAAAGTTTTGTAAATATCAATGATATAATTAATATTGATTTAGATATTTATATTTTTGTATATATGTATATTATATAAAATAAATTATGTTGGGTTTAATATTTTTTTAAATGTAATTCATTTAAGCTATTTTTGTTATTACATTAAAATTAATCTTATTAACTGTATAATTTATTTAATGTTAGATAATACCTACCTACATATTATAAATGTTAATTGAATAGTAGCATAATTATAAAATAAACATTATTATTCAACGTTTCGCGTATATGTGTTAATTACGTATTATGTATTTATGTGGTATCTTTAGTTTTGACATTTCATTGGGCAGTGGCAACACCCATAACACGCCTCCCTCATGCTATTCGTTAATGACATTTCCATCGACCATTTAAATACGAGCACTCATCTATATCGATTATCTAGCGGCTTCATGTACACCAACAAGATACCCCACAGCCATCAATCATTCTCCTGATATTCTAGATATAGCTATTATGAAAACAGGAAATATAGGGTATATTATTGAAAACCTCACTGATGAATTGTCTTCTGACCATACCCCAATACTGCTCGACATATCTTTAAGCTCAGCTCACACCTATCCACCCAAACTACAGTACGTAACAAACTGGGAACTTTTCGAAAAAGAATTGGAAATTCTATCCTTTCTATTACCAAAAATGTCTTCACAAAGTCAGATCGATAGTGCTATTAACCATCTATCATCTATCATCACTGAGAAACTTGAAAAAACCTCATTCATCTTCTCAACTCCAGACAGAAAAAATGACTTACCAAACTTCATCCAGAACCACATCAGGAAAAAACGGAAACTGAGAGCTGCCTGGCAAAGGAGCAGAGACCCAGATATAAAAAAGTCCCTCAACAGACAGACAGCACTAGTAAGAGAGTTACTTCACTTTCACAGGGACAACGAATGGACATCGTTCCTAGGCTCAATTGACAACAACGCCCAAGGCTGGTCCAAACTGTACAAACTAAATAAAAGACTTCTACGAAAGCCACCTCCTGTTCATCCACTGCAAGATCACGAAGGCAATCTCCAATTCGATCCAGAAACAAAAGCCAATATATTTGCTCAATCAATGGAAGAACAATTCAAGACTCCAGATACTCATTGCTGGGTCGATGACGTTGGTCGCGATTCAATAGAACAACATGATGAGGCAATATATAAAAAATCAATATTTTTCTCTCCTGAAGAGGTACACGAAGTAATACGCAGACTTCCTAACAAAAGTTCCCCAGGACCGGACAAAATCTCCAACTGCGCCCTAAAACACAGTGGCAAGAAATTCAAATTTTATCTTTGCCGAATATACAATGCCTGCGCTAGAATTGAATATTTTCCTAAACCTTGGAAAATAGCAACAATCATAATGCTACCAAAACCAGGAAAGGACCCCAAACACCCAACTAATCATCGTCCGATTTCTTTTCTCAATACGATGGGAAAGGTTCTGGAAAAACTTCTACTGTCTAGATTGAAAGTCTATATTATGCCAAAAATCCGTCCTGAACAGTACGACTTCAGATCAGAACACAGCACGACTATTCAATTGATAAATGTTATAGATCTGGTTACTAATGATTTAAATATCAGACATAAAACAGCTGCAACATTCCTGGACATTCAAGAAGCCTTTGACAAAGTATGGCACGAAGGTCTAATATTCAAGCTGTTAACAATGGACGTATCTCATCAACTTATCAACCTTCTCAGATCTTTCCTCCTGAACCGATCATTTGAAGTTAGGATCGGCAACTCATTATCTACCCCAAGAACAATTAGTGCAGGCGTCCCTCAAGGGTCGTGCTTATCACCTCATTTATTCTCGGTCTATATTAATGACATGCCAAAAGAGAAGGAAGCCAACATCGCTCTCTTCGCAGACGACCCGGTTTTCTTCGCTTCCGGAGCAACTAACAATGCAGCAATTTCAAGAGTCCAAAGACAAATAGACCTTGCAATACCCTTTTTCAAACAATGGAAGATATCACTGAATCTATTAAAAACCCAAGCTATCATATTCACAAATCGATCCACTCATCAATCCAATACTTTGCATTTTGGAAATACTTCGGTCTCTTGGTCCAATTCTTGGTCAATTTGGGAGTAATTATAGACAGAAAACTTAATTTTGCAAAGCACTTAAAATCATTGGTTCAAAAAGCAACTGCAGCCAAGTTCTCACTATTTCCTCTCATCAACGAACACAGTCCACTTCCTCTTAAAACAAAGCTCTACATATACAAAGCGTACATAAGACCAATCATTTTATATTCTTCTCCATCGTGGACAGCGAACATCTCAAGAGCCAGCTGGAAAAAGTTAGAAGCGTTCCAGTCCAAAACGTTGAGAACAATTACAGGCAGCTATTGGTACGTATCTAACCATACAATAAGATCGTCTTTAAATATGTCATCTATAAAAGACTCCGTTAACTTGGAAACGAATAGAACATTTCAAAAAATCAAAAACTCCAACTACGAACACATATCCAACATAGTAAACAGAAAACATCACAAAGAAATATTCAAAAAAAGACCCCTAAGCTTAGCATAATCATCTACAATTAACAGCCAACAATTACATGAAACTACTTGAATCTCTCTGCAAGAAGCGCACGCTTGATACAGAGTAAACTAAAAAACAAAGCAAAGCAAAGCAATATCGATTATCAGTTATTCTTTCACCATTTAAGTGAAACGAAGTTTATCTAAAGTTCGTATACCTACTTATAGTAAAAAATTTGCTGTTTCAATTATGGCCGGTGTGGTAAATATTCGAGACATCGATCAGTCATTGGGATCAAGGTAATTATCGATTTTAAATTACTGAAACTTAGATATACAATACTTAACAAAGTATTAATGGCACTTTTTTTGCACACGTACCTATTAATATTATATTCCGCATTTATAATATGATGTAATATAATTTCATATTTAGTTTTAAGATTGAAGCACGTGTTTTAAAAGTTCACGAATTACGTTCCTTCAAAAATAATATAGGAAAACTTTTTTGTGTGGATATATTTGATGCTACGGGAGAAATACGTCTCACCGCTTTTAATAACGATGCCGAAAATGTGTGCTCAATTTTCAAGGTATGATATGAAGAATAGTAATAAATAATAATATTACGATCGTCAAATTCGTTTACGAATCGTTCTAACCAGGTTTTTTCCCATGTTAACTGGTCATGATCTTAATGTGTGCGGAGTACATGTAGTACCATGTACTATAACTATTAAGTACTAAGTATGTGTGAATGTGAATACATTTTATTATTCACTACACTAGTTACCCTCAACTGATATGTCGTAACCACTTTGTTAGTTGTTAGCATATTCTTTAGGGTCAACAATACATGCAATAGCAAGGAGTCCTGCTGGAGCAAGTTGTGCGATCATGTGGAGAAAGACCCCTGGGGTCTTCCATACAAATTGGTCACTAAGAAATTGGTCGGGAGAAGGCCTATCCCAGGACTTTCGCTGCCCGGAAGGATAGAAAAAATCATTGACGGTTTATTCCCAAGGGAACCAGAGATAACTTGGCCACCCGGAGAGAGCCATGACAAATTTGCAGAAGTGACGTGCCAGGAGATCCGGGAACTATGCAGAAAGGTTCTTTCGGGGAAAGCACCAGGTCCGGATGTGGTACCCGATGTTATAGTGAGGGAAGTCGCAAGCAGAAAACCGGAGATCTTGAGGAGCACACTCAACAGTCTGCTCAAAAACAGCCTCTTCCCCGATCCGTGGAAGGTGGCAAACCTGGTGCTGCTGCGGAAAGGCAACAAACCGCTGGAGAACCCGTCTTCCTACAGACCGATCTGTCTGCTGAACACCGTCGGCAAGCTGCTCGAGAGGATAATAAAGGGGCGCATGGAGAGACATCTCAGCGACAGCGATGATCTCAGTGACAGGCAGTTCGGTTTTAGGAAAGGGCGCTCCACGGTGGACGCCATACAAAGAGTCATGGACACAGTGACCAAAGCCGGAACAGGACCCTGGTACAAGAGGAAGCTGTGCGTCGTGGTGGCCTTAGATGTGGCTAACGCTTTCAACTCGGCGAGATGGGGCAGCATAATAACAGCCGTACGCGAAAAACAGTTTCCCCAATACCTGGTAGACACACTGCAGAGCTACCTCAGCAGCAGGGAAATTAGGTACGAAGGAAAGACATG